GCCTTGAGCAGGAGCACCCCCTCATCGGTTGAAAAGAGCCGCATTGGTCAAGACTGTTCATTTTGCTGGTAGCGATTCGTCCGTATGAGGCGTGCTATAGTCGTTTGTGAAATAACGAAGTGGAGTTCCATACCATAGGAGCCTCTGCTGCTAGGAAAATTTCGTGCGCCCTCTCTCGGTCCATCTCGGGGCTCATACAAACCTGCTTATTCAAATGTCTAACAATTTGTGTTCTGTGGAGTGGGTAACAGAGACTAATAGGAGTATCCAGGTTTTGAGTGGGGGGGGTCACATGGCAAAATTGATATCTTTTGTTCTGAAAACGACTGTCCCTTTTAAAGATTGTATAAGACAATCCTATACTTTCACACGACAATATTTACTTACTCGGTTTGTCAGAAGTCCAATTACAAGTTAGGAGAGTCGCTTGACTATAGAGATTATAGTCACATGAATGAAATTTCAAGTCAGAATCTAGTTTGACATCAGTATTCTTTGACCAATTTCGAAAAGTCATATGAACTAATGCTCTACACATTTTTGTCAAAAAGACAAATAAATTTTTGAGTGTTAGAGCCACGTTGGCACTTTCAGCTCCTTAAAAATTCAACATGACTCCCGGGGCAAAGACAACAACGTGCCTAGCATGACTTCAAAAATAAAGAAATGGCAAAACTCATTGGATGGCTCACAAGACACTGCGGACGGGAGCGCAGCAAGCACGAATAGGCCCACTACCATCTCTACCTCACGCAAACCGCATAAAATATAGCGACAGCACCTCATCCTAATTATACCCCATTCCCAAAATTTGGACTTGGCACACCATCGTCCGTTTTAAAACTCACACAGTGTCTCTCCCAAAACCGATGTTTTTATTGTAAAACACGCCTGGCGCTTTGCATTTAGATGCCCCGGTTGGGTTTCGACAGTCAGCCGCAACACCCCCTGCCAATAAAAACAAGCGGGGAAACACAAAAAACTACAGAAATAAGAAAGTGAAAAGAAAGAACAAGGATAGCTGACGAGTCCCAAGTCAACTTCACATGGAAAGGTTGATTAAATTGTTACATCAACCGCATGCAATTCACAAAAGTTAATTAAAGCGGGAGGGCATGGTGAAAATGAAAAAGCACGCTACATGTATTAAAATCCTTACAGACATTGCAACTCGTAAAGATAACGCAAAATGATGTTTGCCCCTCCCTGAAAAAGTGAAATGTTCAATATTTTTTTATCGAGGCACAGACAACTCTTGATACTAAAGCGCACAAAAGGGCCCCCCCTGGAGTTGGTACTCGGTAACAATTCCTTAATCAAACATGGCAAAGAACCACTGAAAAACACTTGAAGTGCAGTTCCCCCGTACTTCTTTCCAAAACACTGAAAAGTAAAATGCTCTATTCGCCCAAAAGAGAGAAAAGGATCGAATTTTGACTTCCTATCACTGGTGAAAAATCGTCACGCGACAGCAACACATATACACTGAATCAGATACACTGCCAAAAGCTCACGCATGTTATAACAGAATAAATTTCACAGAAAAAAACGTCAAGGCGCGTGAATGTGTACTGATGGCAGTTTCGACGTCGGCGCATGTGCCCCAACACATTCTGATATTAAAAACGAGCTCTATGTTTCATACCGAATCTTTATTGGCTGCATATTCTCACGTGACAATTACGCGACAGACGACGACGCACCACCACCTCGCTATTATAAATGGCTTGGTTTTGCTGCAGTAGCCCTGTAAAGGCGAGTAGGGGCCGGAGAACTTCGACAAGGTTTAAACCTGCAACAAAAAATCTGTTGTGTCAAAATCACCTTGTCGGTACATCTTGTGCCGTGTTTGTTGGGCCTAAGGAACGAGTAACATGGATTCGTCCTTGTCTTGGTACCAGACCATAGATAACGAGTCGCTGTGGAACGGCACGTGCACGCCTGAGAACACTGTGCTCATCGATGTTGTCAGCGTCGACATTCTATTGTACTCACGGCTCGAAATCGTGTACATCTCCGTGGTCTTACCAATCGTAGCAGCATTGGCCGCCATCACCAATGGCAGCTATCTCTACGTTGTTGCCAAGATCAAGTCCATGCGAACCGTCACTAACATCTATCTGGCCAATCTAGCTGTGGCCGATATGATATACTCGATTTCACTGTGCGCTTCGACGTTCTACTTGTATTCCAATTCCGGAGGTGTACGCGGAAATGTGCCAGTGGCGCAGAACTGCGCACTCCTTCTTCTGTTCCCCGAGATATGCTACGGAGCGTCGTTTTTCTTAGTTCTGGCTGTCACTGTGGACCGATTTTACGCCGTGTGCTACCCGCTGAAGCACCGTACATTCACTAAAGCCCGCACGGTCAAGACCACAATTGCTGCCTGGAGCCTGGGCTCGCTGCTTTTTTTACAGACAGTGTTGAGTAGTGTCTTTGAACACTTGGTATGTGTCGTCTGGCCCGATTTGCGGCAATATTCCGATCTGCCATCTGTCTTCCGACTCTGTACCGGTATTTTTACAGAGAAGGTGGATAAACTTGTGGAAAGCCTCCTGGGCATCCCTGTTTTTGTGTTCACCATGCTAGCAAACTGCTTCATGTACATCAAAATCATCAAAGCTCTGAACAATCGACCAGCACAGCGAGATAACCAACGCGGACCGAGTAACAACGCCGAGCGGACCCGTCGCCGAGTTACTAACATGCTGCTCGCCAATACGCTGGTTTTCTTTATGTTAACCTTACCCACTCACATCCGCTTGGCCTTGGAACTGATGACAGAATACATGCAACTTCCACCTGCATTGGACAGACTAACACACAGTGCGTCCTTAACGCTGATGGCAAGCGCCCTCTGCTTTATTAACTCGATGATCAACCCCATCATCTACAATGCCACCAACTCCCGTTACAGACAGGCGTATTGTGAGGCGTTCCTTCCGTGTCGTCGCAGTCGTACGCCCTAGCGTCGAGTTCAACAGAAACATTTAACAGGACTGTCCAGTTTCACAGAACCTGTACACAACTACAAGGCAAGCACACGTTAGGTGGTAAGAGCACTCTAACTTTTAGGGGTGCACATCGAAGCCGGTTACCCAAGCAACCGACCTATGATGTTAGGAATCAGTACCTCACAAAAGAATGCGCAAAGTGTAGAAAGTATTTTGAGGGGAAACAGGGCTTGAGGCTTCATGATATGCTAAACCAGATTTTTGCATTCAAGTCCACCAGAACAGTCCGGTTAAATAGTGCATTTTCAGGTTTGCTTTTTTCTGGGATTTTTATCTCGTTTACTTTTTCACTAAATTCAAGGTACTTGGTGAGGTACAAGTGTATATGGGTATCCGTCTTTTAATTCAACAGAAATCCTTGTCCAAGTACTATACCATGTATTCGTAAATGCACATCACTAATGGCTTTGAATGGCACCGGCAGCCAGGGATTTTCACTTGCAAATTTGAAAGGCTGAACATTAACCAATCGACACGAATGAAAATAGTGCAAGGTATTCATTACAACAGAAAAAAGGCTCCTGGTCTACGATGAAACTGCTTTTCGGCCTACATTAACACCATGGTACTAATGAAAAAAAGTAAAGACTTTTGAGTCGTAATTTGACGTACATATCCCTTTCGCACCCTACGTATTAAAGTTTAAGCCGCGCATCCCAATTATGAAAGAGACATTGCAAGCAAACCGGTTTGATGTTCACCTTTGATTGTAGCTTATTACACTTCTGATATTGGTCTATTCTAACGTACTGCATGTTCTCCATCACTTCATGAAAAATTGCTTAGTTAAGTTGCAGCTGATTACAACACTTAAGGCATTCTCAAGTGTTGCAAGTTAGCGTTCGCCACTGCTTCATGAAATTGAATAGTTTATCAGCGGGTAGCTGATTTTAGCAATCATGGCTATTCGGCAGTGTTGCCTGTACAGTGTTTTCCATTTCTTGGTGGAAATTTAGTGTCTTTATATCTTTATATTATTCCTCCACAGTGCCATCTCACGCTTAATTTGGGAACAGATCACTCGCTTATTTCGTGGACATTCAAATGCACAATGAATTTGTTGTTGAATAAACCACGTAGGAACTTTTCTCGCGCGCACGCTAAAACTGACAAACGGCTTACGCTCTGTGCACCTGTTCATTATGCTCATGAAACGATGTAACAATTTCTTTCTTTATCTTTTTTTACCGTGAGTAAACGAAACACTTTATGACAAAAATGTTACTGCACCGTTGTACGTAACTACTGCAAATATTGCCGACACTTTAGGTCGGTTCATACTTGGCGCAGACGCGAACACAAACGCGAATTTGTGACTTCGGATCAAAATTTCTTCGCGCTGTGAATTCGCAAAAGTTGAACACATTTCAACTTGAGTGAGATTTCGCAATAAATCTTTCTAAAGGGCAAAAAAATTCACTTTGCTTTCACATTCGCCTGCAGTATAAACAGACCTTTAGGATTATACATGTACGTATTATACATTCCCACTAATAATATCATATTTTCCTGTGCTTCAACCACGGTCACTTTAAAATATCAATCACACTAGATTTGAAAGCACCATAGCATAATGGGTCAAACCTCACAGTAATCCACTCTTTTTCATTACTTAAAAACCTTTCAAAGCTTCGTCGTGATGCATTAAGACGGCAGAAATCTCAGCACAGTTTCTGACAGAGTATCATTCAATGTAGTTTCTGTTTGAGCTTCTTATCCTAATGTGTATATCCACATACATACAGCCACGGCGCATGCTGTGGTGAAAATTGCCGATAAAAATTCCGTGAAACTGGTAATTAAGACCCCCACCCAAGAAAACTACAAATTCCACTGCAACACAAGAAAGCACTCTATATTTTCGGTATAGTTTACCGGTTTAATGGTTTACAGGTATACCATTTCTGGTAAATTATAAAACACTGCTTATGATATTACTGTATTACAACGCGGCTATTCATTATTGGAAGTGCATTTCAAAAGAAACATTGTCACAGCCGATCTAAAAACGTCGTGTCTAATTAAATTATCATTTTTTTTAATGTTAAATACTCAAGTGTTGAGTTGTGTTTGCGATCAAGTTGTAACTTTCTTTTTATTACCAAACGTTGAAAAGTGACAGTTTCTGACTGAGTGATACCACACTGCCGATCTACAGAAAGGGTGTACCTTGGTAAAAACGTCGTGTTGTACATCCAAATTGGATGACATTTATGTATTTTATGTACTAATTTGTGTTGAATATTATGTAGTCCTATTCTTGTAGGATTTTTCGGCTCAACATGTTCATTACTTCAAGAACGATAATTATCCCAATTGCCAGTACTTAGAAAGATAGCACAATCTCCTACAACATACTGAATTCACCATGGTCACTATTGCATCTCTTACAATATCTGAAATGCCCAACACATTATTATTAATATCAACAAGCTGACTCTTTAATGGACAAGAATTCTCCAAATGGCCCACGGCACGCTGGAAGATGCTGTGGTTAATATTCCAGGTAAACGCTAAAATATGTGCACAATTAAACCAGTGTTCTCTCACTGAAGGGTTTACAGTTTGGTATCGACACGATGTAATGTCAAGTCACTGATCGAATCGTCTTATGCATTTTCTTTTCAACTGCATATTTAACTCGTGAATATGATCTTAAATTTAACCTCTGTGATCGAATTATTTATTGATTACAAAAACATGACAGGTGAGTCTCTTAATGCTATGACATTACACTTTTAATGTTTGTAACAAGTGGACACTGTTGGGTATTCCGATACGCAGCAACTTTATAATTAGGTTCTCTGTTGTATTGTTCAAGTGTGATTCCAACGAATTGACTGGGGCATGACTGGGGCACAATTTCCGGGGGGGAGGGAGGGTCACCCTATAAATGATCATTTTGGAACAGTGCTCGAGCTTGAAGGAGCTGGGCCTCATAAAAATTCAACTCTAGTATTTGTAGATAGGTTTGTCACAATGTCTGGGAAAAAACAACTCTTGCTTTGTCTTTATGAAAACACATATATTGATTTTCAAACTTGGTGTGTTATTAAAAAGGACACTGTGCTTACTTATCTATTGGATTACAAATTAATAAATGATGTGGTGTTCACCTGTGATCGCGTGAAAAAAAATGTGTCAAATTGTTACCTTATTGGTATTGATGCAATGTCATCTGTAGTCGTGACTTATTCTGTCGACATAATGCAGGGTTCTCCGTTCACAGAACGTGACCTGCCCTTTCCGGAACCAAGGTTCCTGGTTCTGGTACCAATCTTCCACATCGAAGTCGGGGAAAAAGAAGGATGTCTCCTTCCTGGCTGTCTCTGCAGAGTCTAAACCGGCAGAAATAAGGTCAAGTATAAAACACAAACCAATATTAAACATGCGGGCTTTGGAAAATAAGAGGTGTATCTCTTATTTTGTTCTTCATTTTTTTATTTTCATGATGGCCAAAATTCTTTTTTTTTTCATTTTTAAACAATAAGTAATTTTTCTCTTCGCCAGAGACACAAAACTGAAGAAGGCATGCTGAACGAGAATATAAGATATTTGAAGTAGCTTATTTGAGGGAAGTTTGATTACAGTTTATAGCAGTTTCAAAATAATAAGACAGTTACATGTTTCACCTTGCTACTCAAAGGGCCATGCAAAACAATTTTTAAAATGAAAGGCCTAGAAATGCACAGAAATGTGCCAGAATTTCGGATACTTTGTTAGTCTTAAAGTTTCTTTCTTTGGTGATTTGTTGTTTAATTTCATGACAGTGGGCACGTAAATTTTAGATGAAAACATTTTGGGACCAAAACTTGAGCAGAAATCCCCTGAAATTGAACAGGTTCTTCCCGGAATGTCACAACACCAGAAGCACCCTAGTGTGTCAAGAAAGCACTGAAAATTCTAAAATGGTTACAAGAAGGTACTTTTCAGCACAGTTAAACTGAGGAAGATTTTAAAAATAGGGTTTGTTTGTTTAATACCTGTGGGGTGCAGAAACTTCCACAATTTTTTTTTATTCAGGAAACGTCCCTGAAAGAACCCTTTGTCTCTTTAAGCTATCATCTGCTAGCTGTCTTCAATTTTTGGGGGAGTCCAAAATGATTGCTACATTTCACATTGTCGCAAGCAAAACTGGCCTGCAATACCTGAGCCATGAGTGGCATTTCTTGTGTCCGTTAGCCCAAAGCGTGCCCTCATAGAATCCGGTGCTTCATGTATTGCCCTGCATTGGAGGCGACAGAAAGTAAATCCAAGGGATGATTCAGTGGTACAGTCGTGGTTGTACTAGGGGAGCCGGGCTGGGCTGGACATTTTTTTCTACAGTACCTTGTGGTAAATACAAACGGAAAAATTCACTTAGTTGGTAACAGCAATGTGTTCTAATATATGATTCAAGGTGTTACGGTAAACTTTAATGAGTAATAAGGCCGAAAATTTACTTCTAATCCAACTCGTTTTATTTTAAACTTTATGTGGTGTATCATGCTGTTGGGACTAAGGGAAAAATTCACCCATCGGGACCATACCTCACATGGATTACAAGCCACCTGCTCGAAGGGACTGATGCCTATCTTGAAAATCATCAAGTCAGACCATCACTCAAAAATACATTTTTTAAACACTTTTGATGGAATCTGATAGGAGCAAATAATCCATCGACTGGGCTGCCAAATATTCCAACACTCAATTATTTGAACTGTCCAAACCTTACTGCCTAAAATGAAGAAATTAATACAATGTGCACACAAGTGTGGTTCCAATGCAGTCCATGGCGATACATTTATATCCTCTAGAAGAGAATTTCATGATCAAGGAATGCACTATAGTCCATTTCATATCTGACCTGAACGTTTTGGTCGGTCCCATGAGCTGTCTCCACCTGATTACTGCATCCTCTCCAGCCAAAATGTGGACACTGACTGGCCCACTGGACATGAAGCCAACGAGACGGTTGTAGAAAAACCGGCCTGCATGTAAGTAAAAAAACAACAATAGAGATGGACTTCCATCAAATATGTGTTTGTTTACTTCATAAAATACATGTGCTAGTACTGGTACAACTGCATGGCATGCAAATGAAATCACACTTACAAAATGTTTTCTTCATTTAAAATTCCCTAGACAACACTAATCAACTTCATCGAGGCAATCACTCATTTAAATAAAGATCTTTTTAGAAGACAAAGGTACATGTAACAATCAATCTGGTCACATGACATAATATCCATGTATACACCAAGTTCAAGTTCCAAAGCAATAATGCAAAACAAACATCACACGTGAAGCTGGACTGTAACGGAAAATGTCCTTATTAGTACCTTCCAAGGTTGAGGCTCATGAAAATAGAGTTTTGTCAACCTAAACGTTCTGTTACATACATGTATTCCCCCACCTTGACTGAGACACAAGCCTGCTAACTGGGTAAAGTACATTGACTGGTAGTCACTCTATGTAAAGGGAACGTAAATGCATGTAATCCACTTGCCTTTGTGCTCTGCGTAAAACCTCTCCACAATGCTGCTTGGCAACCTCTTTTCTAGTGAACGCACAAAGTAAAAGTTGTTGTTCAGTATCAACTGTTTCACTTCCTTCAAAATCGGGAAAAAAAGACAAAATAAAAGTTACAGAGGCTCAGAAATTACTTGTGACTTTCAAGTCTACTCAGATGAAAACTCGTCTCCTGCTAAGGAATGAAACTTTCACCAAAAGGTAGAGGCCTTCTTGCAACAGGCTTACATCTCCTTTGTCTTAAAAGTACCACTTTATCTTCATGATCTTACTGGAACCCAAAGATATGTGACTGTCATAAATGTTATGATCTTAACCAGTGTTAACAATCCAGTGCTACCAGCAGATATGAACCCAACCAAATAAGTTTCAAAATTTAACATTTGATTTATACCATTATGGCCAAAATCTATTTAGATTTGTCATTGCAAAGTACTACATGTAGTTATGGCCTAGGCATATTCGCATGTGTAATACCCCCCACACCCATTGGAAAACCCAGCTCCGTTACGCCTGGCACTGTCCCGTTTTAAAAAAGACATGTAAAACCAGCTAAAGTTGTGGCACTTTCGTATTTATGCACGTGGATCCGACACGATGTGGGTCTGGTCATGTATGGCGGTTACGCTCGCTCTCGGCCCTAACGAGTAACGTTAGGCCACTATTTTCTTACCTGAAGTCGGTGAGGGTGAACCACAACGTTCGGTTTAATTATTGCAAGTGTTATCTCTAGTGCTCTTAATGTACTACTTTTACTCATAATTCCAGAATTATTTCTAAGGAAAGAGGGAGAAACACTTCTACCAAAAGCTTCACGAAATCTTCATGGAGGCCGCCATTTTGTTTTGCATTACGTGCGCCCTCTACCTGTCATCAATAAAGCTAAGATATAGAGGGCGCTCTTTTACAATTCGTCCAGACACTTAATTCAAAGCAACTTAATTCAAAAGGGAAAATACCGCCTGAGGCTGTTGAACCGTGAACAAGCACATTCGTCTGAATGCAGCCAAAAAGAGCAGGATAAAATTAAATGACCACACACACGCGAGTTACGCAGGAACGATAGTACTGTATATTTTATTTCAAAACTGATACCGCTGAAAAATACTTTCTCCTTTTATTCCCAGCGAGTTGATACATCCAACACGAGGTATATTACAAAAAGAAAGTTCAATTTTAAAAGCTATTTCACTGAAACGTATTTGGTCCTTAAATGCATTCATTCTTCTCCTGCATAACCTTCAAAGACAAAGTGATATGATACAAGCGAGCAAGACATAGATAAATACTCAATCAAATCATAACATTTTCACACGTTGGTTCAGAGTCACCAGTGTTGATAACAATAAAGCAGATACTTTAAATTTCTAAAGGTAACTTATAATACCCAGAGTATATACACACTTTTCATAAATGGTAAGCCAAAGGGACGACTTATTTAACCTTATGTGAAAGACTTAATATTTCAACATTCCTGAGAGTTGTGTTCAAGTGTTATTTCAGGAACTGGTGAAAATGTATTACATGAATTTTTCACTTGCATTATTCTTAAATTTCTTGGGATGGGATGGGAAGGGAGAAGGGGCTGAAGCTATGAAGACTAGATCCTCTCTGAAATATGAAAAATAACAAAAAGGAAAATCAAATAATGATAAGTGGAAATTAAACTTAAACTTCTGAATTGAACAAAAAAAAGTTTTGTTCACTTTCAACATTACCCCCCTGAAAAAAACACCTCAGCATCCCATCTGCCATAAAAATAACCACCAAAATTGGTACAGGTGGTCCTGCTAAACACAAAGATGAACTATCTTCGTGGAATGGCACAGATTTCAAAAGGCTGAGGAGACAAGCTTATACCCCCAACCCCTCGGAAGGACAGGGCTGGTGAGCCCTCGGGCTTCTCGAAAGTGAAGCGATGAAGGAGGTGGGTGAAGAAAAGGAAAAGCTCCATCTTGGCAAGCTGCTCGCCTACACAGGAACGGCGCCCTACAATAGCAAAAATTGAGACTGTATTTAGAATGACTTCAGGCTGGGGAATATTTGGGGTGGATAAAAGCTTGGAGCTTTCTTGTGGCACTCGGTGTCAATGATGGGCATGACAGGTGGATCAGCAATAATCAATTGATTGTGGTGCACTATTGGTCGATCCTGTGCGAAATTTCTTTCTCACTGTTTTCCAAACACCGAGTCTTGCACTGTCTTCAAAACATTGAATCTTACAGAGGAGAGAAGTAAAAAAAAAAAAACATGACTGACTGATAGTGCTGTGATGAAAAGACGAAAGCACAATCAACCACGATCGCAATGTATTCCACATATCATGTGGATCCAGTAAACACACACCCAACATCAATTTAGAGGTACATGTAACATGTATGGATCTCTCTGAAAGTCTACATGTAGGACTAAGGCAGCAATAAAAAAGAAAGAGGTGAACTTTCTCACCTATACAGAAAGGCAACAACTCATCTGGCTTAAGCACCTCATGATGTTCATCCAAAAAGCGATCTGGATTAAACACATGAGGCTCGGGCCACAGTGTTGGATCAGTTCCCAGGGCCCATAAATTGGGTAAGACGAGGGTCCCCTTTGGGATGTGGTGCTGCCTGAAGGTCACATCACCGGAAGCCTCGTGTGGGACGCCCAGTGGAATGATGTTACCAATCCGTTGGACCTCTTGGAGGGTGGCAACTGCGTAGGGCAGCCTGTTCCGGTCCGACAGCCTGGGGAAGCGACTGCGGCCCACGACTCGGTCAAGCTCCTGCTGAACTCGGGCCTGGACCTGCGGACAGGCTACCATGTAGAGCAAAGCCCACTGTAACGTCACGGCTGAAGTCTCGGTGCCCGCAGCGAAAAGATCCGCTGTGGTGCCGTGCAGGTCGTTCACTGTCACTCCGGACTTGGTGCAAGTCATCTCCCTGATAATGACATCCATGAAATCCCTGAGGTTGCCGGGATCAAAGTCCTCCCGATGGTCCTCCAGCGCAGCCCGGCTGAAATCGCAGACGTACTGTGTGTTGTCCAGGCACTCTCTAACCACTGGTACAAACTTGGCCAAAAGGTGAGAGTAAGGCATAAACAGTATCGCCCCAGTGGCACCGCCCATGAGTTCAAGATTCCGATAGATGGCTCGCAGGAGCTCTACAAACCGTGGATCGGTGTACTCATACCGGGACCCAAACACGACCAAGCAAATGACGTTGGCTAAGGCACTGGACAGAATGTGAGACGGATTGAAAGGGCACCCTCTGTGGGCTCGTATTGCCTCCAGCAGGTGTCGTGCCTCGGTTGAAATCCTGTCTTCAAAATGCGGCTTGTTCAGTCCAAAGTCACGCATGAAGTGCAGCGTTATCCTGCGCTGCGCTCTCCAAAGATCCCCTGAGGCTCCCACAACACCTGTGAAGATTCAAGAAGTTAATAGATCAGCTGAAAAAAAAACTAGGCACACCAGCCGATGGATTTTATACCGTCACTTCTGAGACCCTTTAGTGCGAGACCATGAGGCCTCCTTGTCAATCTCCCTAGTGGAGAATTCTTGAGGAATTTCCACCAAGTACTATCTGTGAGGAACGCATTCTCACCTCTACACTGGTTCTAGATCCAATTAAATGCAGCCACTTCAGAGCAGCTGCCAAATGAAGGAGCCTGCTCAAACAAGATCCAACAGGTCTCCCTGACCCTACAAAACATCACAGGATCACACAGCGGCACTGTTTGACAGATTATCAGCACCCATTGTCTCATTAGGCCATTGTCTCTGTTAACTAGATATTCTCATACTGAAAATAACAACAAAAACGGAATGAGAGAGGCCTCTCTAAAGTAGCACGTAGTAACTTCTGAAGTTGGCATTTAACAAAAGTAGGACTTTGACTGGGGAAAAATATGCAAAACAAAACCAGGTCAACCCTTCATAAACCAAATTCTCCAAACTGTTCTACCAGAGACCAGGCCCTTTATTTTGCCAACCAAACTGTGAATGTCTTTATCATATGCAACAGAGAATTTGTCTGCAGGCATCTTGAACCTGAGAGGGAAGTAAGTGGTTTAAGTTTGAAGCCCAAGACTTGCTTTGTAAAGTTCAACAGTTTTACAACTGGAAGCACTAAGTCATCTAGTGGCACTCTCGTGAAGAGATTACATGTATCGTACAGAAATAGAGACAAGGCACCAGAAACATGTACAACTGAATATGCTCTCGAATGCAGTACTTAAGAAGCGATGGACTGTTCATCTCAAGAGTCATTCTGCACATATTTCTTGTATTGTACACTTATCTTGCCATCTTGAGCTTGGGGATATATATTAAAAATATACTCACCGACACCACCTTTCAACACTTTCTCAAACACCGATAATGACGGGCGACCATTGAGCTGTGGGTAATGGCGAAATGCATCTTTAATCACATCATAGCCGTGCAGTACAACCACGCGTCTGCCAAAGATCAGATCAATGTTGACGACTGGTCCGTACCTCTGGGACAATCTAGTCAAGAATGCATTGAGAAAACCAGAGAAGACTTTTTTGATGTTGGAATACGATTACCTTTTTTTTTTTTCAATGAATCATTCTATATTCTAGAGCAACAAAATTCAGTGTGTATTTCAAGTAAGCAGAGAGCAAACTTACATGTAACAATAAGCCACTTGCGATTTAACTCTGAATAAAATCTGGTACACTGTGTTATCTGATTGCACAGAGACTTAACAATTTGAATTCCCCAGTCTAAAGATACTGTTGCTATACTCGTGATTCGGGGCAAGCTTTTGCTTATCGACCACCATCTCTGGAATGGACTGGTTCCTTTGTGCCGTTCTTATCCATTGAGAATAGTATATTGTTGCAAGGTGTCTTTTATGTAACTAAGGAAAGGCTTGCCCCGAATCACGAGGGATAGCAACAGTGGCTTTAGTATGGAGAATTCCACTTGTTATGTTCACATGAATTTAAAGAACACAGTGTACCAGATTTTATTCAAATCTAACTTGCAAAAGGCTATAAATTCTAAATCAATGAAGCAACAAGCTGGCTACAAATTAAAATCTAAATCCGTTAAGCATATTTACAGCAGGACCTATTCACAAATCATATTTCAACAGTCTGGACAAAAGTTTTAGAAATGAAGTCTTATTTACATCACCTGCATGCCCTCCATATCATTTACAGTGTAAGGCCTTATCAAATAGTAACAGGCTTACAAGTACATACTGTAGAGCTGTTTCTCTTGTGTTCATTGTGACAATGCCTTGGCTTTATCTTTCTGCCTCATATTCAATCACGAGTACACATACGGTGGTGAATTAATTGCTGCAACAATCAGTCAAAAATCCCTTCCACTTGATTTGCCACAGTACACAGACGGAATGGGGCCATTTCATTTAAATGGTTTTGACTGATTGGCCGACTTTGTCAACAATGCATCTTCAGATCTCTGCACAGGAGGGTTAATCTGAATCATATAGTTGGCAAAGCCTCCATCAGGAAGTATCACACAAACTTAAATTTCTAATAATTTTGGGAAGTCTGTGGATAATATTTACAGCAAGAAATAACATTTACATGTACTTGTAGGCCCAGTGTAGCCGAAGTTTGTGCAAAATGTCTCACTCAAACACGTCAAAAGGAGTTCCACTCAATGACAGCACGGAGGAATAAGAACACGTGTTCTTATTCCTCCATGGTAACAGTGATGCTCAAAGTTGAGCTTTTCAGAACAGCCCAGGCCTAGTCCGTCCACAATGTCCATCCATCCACCTGTGTGTTTTCCGTGTCACGTGCGCAAAAACAATGATTTACTGACTCAACATAGTTTGAACTCAAACACCATTATGTCCTGTCCTTTTGACGCTCACCTGTGGAATATCTCGTGCGGAGCGCCGCTGTAGAAGAGTAGGGACGGCAGGCTGCCGACCAGCGGCAAGGCCAGCGGTCCAGGGGGGAGATTGGCCGGTCGCCTGCAGAGCCAACGCACGATAATAAAGACCGCAACTCCGATGAGAACAGCTGTTGTGTCGGTCGCAGTAACACTCAAAGAAGGGACCCACCATGAGTTCATATCCAACCTTTAAAGTGGCGTACATTAGTTTTATGCAACCTGTGGTGGGCAAATTATTCTAGAAAGATGACTCGTCAGGCCCCAAACAAAAGTTACAACAGGCCAGAGTGGCTCACTAATCTTGTCGGTGTTGCCAGAAAAAGTGCACAAGCACCATAAATAGCGCCCTCTACTACTCCGAGAATACTCGGGGAGATGTTAGCGGCTTGGGAACTTTGACGCCGTCGTGAACGAAGACTAACAAGGCATAAGCTGATAAACTTTGGACGGAATCGGGAAAAAAGTAGCTAACGCTTTGAGAAAGGCAACAGAACTCGGATATGCAACCCCCTTCCGCCACTCAAAAGGAATTTCGCCTTCCAAATCTAAAAAAAGCACTAAAATTACCCAGAAAAGACTTTCTTTGTATACCTTTTTATAATCACTTTAATTAATAAGGTCACTTTGAAACTTCAGGTGTGACACAAAACTTCTACAAAAACACATTCTATTTTCTAAATTTCAGTGGTCATTTGTTCCGATTCCAGCTCGCAAAGCGAGGTCTAAACACAAATCGAAAATAAAAGTGGACAACAGACATCTACAGTACCGTTTATTTATCCAATATTTTTATTTAACTAAACTCAAGAAATCACTACCAACAAAATTAAAAATGCTTCAACATGATTTTATTACTTTCAGTTTCTTTCAGCTTTTTTTTAGTTTTGGACTGGATAAAACTTACTGCATTGCTACAGACAACTTTAAAACACTGAATTTTTTATAACAAGAAAAATGGTCAAGCATGTGTACAGTGCACAAGATTACTTTATCCTCAGCAAGTTGTACAATAGAGAATAACAAAAATAATACCTTGAAAATAACCGGGATTTACTTTGAGAACGGTAAATTTACACTTAAGCTTTGGAAGCATGGAAACATTTGATTGGGGCTACGGACAGTATTTCACTGGTCCCAAAATTAAACAAGCACTTGAAGTTACAAGTACTCACACAAAACACAGAGGGCTCACAATATTCAGGGAAGGACAGTGTGTGTTTCTGTACCAGTGTGTAATTTAACAATTTATTAGTATAGCATTGTGTTTAAAAATAAGACTCAAACATGACAACAAGAGGGGCGAGTGCACATTGAGGCCACTTTCACATTCTCTGCCTTAATTTCCAAGGGGGGTAGCAAGGGGGATTTCAAGAAATTACGTTCTAACCACTCCATGCAACAGGCAATCCGATTTCTTTGGCTGTTTTCCAATACTCAACTTCGTCTCCATCTAAGGCTTTGTTCCCAAAACCGATCCCCGATTGTGGGCCTAAAACATTTGAATTACATTGGATTACTGTAATTTCTGGCTCTCTTGCATCTTATTTGATACTTTTTGGCACTATTAGACTAATTACTGAGCTCAAAGCTTTAAAGTCAGCTAGTTAAAAAACAGTTGAAGCCTGAGACAGAGCCAAAGTTGAGTATTGGAAAACGACCCTAGTAACTCAATTTGTTTTTCTAAACCACAGCGCATGTAACCAAGGAACACTGGAGAACTTGGAAGTGTCAGAAGTTGGAGACTTCATCATGACGTTCAGTTTCTGACAGTTTTGTTTTTTTCTGACGGGATTTTTTCTCGTGTTGGGTCACCCTATGAGATACTCAGAAGGGCGGCTGGCCTCGCCCTCTCGTAAACCGGCCTCCGCGACCACGAGCTGAAAAAAGAAACCAAATGCAGATTTTATTTCACAGTCTCCATAGCACAATTTTCACACCATATGTACATTAATAATTGGTAAGTGTAACCATAATGGAATTACACCTAGATCGGTTTTCCATATAAGTGAGCTATATAAATCGTTGTATAAGACATGCTGGCAAAATGAGATGGAACTGGACACAGGCTGTAATGTAGAAAAATGGAAAAGAAACTGGTTTTTTTCTTGAATCCTCACATTTACGGAGGATTGTCATCTTTGATACATTTCAACGAAAAACTGTACAAAATAAAGAGATGTTAAAGAGAAGGCATTATTAAACGAGGGGTAAGCTGAGGTTTTGACCCGAGGCACTCCACGAAACTCTGCTGCCATCTTGGAAAACCTCGAGGTAAACCTCCAGTCACCTCCTCTTTAATTTGCACTCTTCTTGACAGCTCTTCATATGTGAAATGGGTGAGGTTTAATAAGCCTTTTGTGAGTTAAATTAGAATAAAATTTGGTACACTGAGTTCTTTAAATTCATGTGAACCCAACAATGTGAATTATCCAAACTAAAGACATTGCTGCTATACCTTGTGATTCGGAGCAAGCTTTTCCTCAGTAACGTAAGAGACGCCTTGCAACAATGCACTGTTCTCAATGGAAAAGAAGGGCACAAAGGAACCAGTCCATTCCAGAGATGGTGGTCGCTATGCAAAAGCTTGCCCCGAATCACGAGGTATAGCAACAGTGTCTTTAGTCTGGGGAATTCAAACTGTTATGTTTATGTGCTACCAGATAACTCAGTGTGCCAGATTTTATTCAAACTTAACTCGTAAATGGCTTATTGATCACCTTTGGGAAATAGGAATTAAATCAAAGAAAAAAGGAATCAAGATTCGGGTGGCAACTCACTTCCTGCATTTGCACCCCGCGGAAATGACCGCTGTATGAACCGGCCACGGCTCCGGATGGCTGTGCCTCCCCGGGACTGCTGGGGGCGCTGTTGTGACTGGCCCGAGCCCGGCGAGTCTTGCCACACGATGCGCTTGGGCTTTGGGCGTTCCCCTTGACCTTTGACATGGATCATCAAAACAAAGCATGCATCAGTTTACCAAGTGACGGAGCTTGTCCACCTTCAAAATTAAGTCTGAAAAATCTGTACGCATTTACAAATTTAAGGATATTACCATAACAATGTTTTCTTTAGAGTTTAAAGTTATCTTTACTTTTGCTTTAACATTCAGCTCATTTTATTCAACTTGATTTTTAAGTTCACTTTTGTAACTCAACAAACGACAATCTTTTAAAAAGCCAGTAAACCAGACAACTGGCCACATGGATGATCTAAGATTAATAAGTGACTGCCTTGTTTACATCTAACACACCCCAAGAACCAATGCACCACTGTTAAAGTATTGCAATATCTTCTCATACAACAAAGGCTTCTTCCAAAGTGTTCAATAGATAGATGTTCATGTCAATTGGCCCTCTACTGGACAATTCACTGACATCTGAGCTATAAACACATACCTATTACCTTAGCCCCTATAGGAAATGTATGGCGTGCCTAACCTGATTCGGTGCTACCGCTTTGCTCCGGTCTGTCTCTGGATTCGGCCCCTTCGGCGCTCGGCACAGCACTCGTCGATTCTTCGCCTTGGGACCTATGGGCAAATTTAGACAAGGAAAGTCACAGAATGCATCATGCAAAAGAATGCTACAGGAACTACAGAGCCAAAGGATACATCAAGTGACCTTACTGTTCATGGAGGATATAAATATGTGACTGATTTTCCCCAGAATGTGCACAAAAACCAACTTAGAGCTGCTAAGCACAGAAGCTTGCTGTGGCCGGAAAACGTATACTCTTGCACAATTTCCATTAGTCCACGACAATTGGGAAAACAAATCTTAACATTTCCTATTGCATGAGTTCTGTGCACAGGCTGACGAGAATGACAACTTAAACTGTTAGTGACAGTTACAGTAAAACCCTAGATTAGACTTATGATTAGACTTGATAAGATTTGCACCTGCATCTTTAACCTACCTGCCAAGTGTCACAAAGAGTAGATATGAGGATACAGAGAGGTATTAAACTGTCTTGAAAGTAGTTAACTGTTCCTTAAACAGGCGGACATGGATGAAGGCATGAACTACATGTACATGGCTGTAAAACCCTTTGCACTGAGACTTCAAAAAACAACTTGCATAAAGATGTCTATATGCCAAGTATCAATGAGGTTGACTGCGGGTCAGCCGAGATCTGAAGGATAGAATTCCCTGACCATGACGTCTTTAACACCAGCCTTTCCGAGGGTTAACGACTGCCCCAACTCACCTCTGGGGTTCAGCAGTTGGCAGGGTGACCTGCTCCTCGCTGCTGGTGTCGGGCGGGGCAGGCGACGACTGCGGCACCTCGCTGGGCAGGGTGTCTGGCTCGTCCTGGTCCCCGGCCCCCTGCTGCTGTTGCTGCTGCAGCTGCGGCGGACCGGGTTCGCTGGAGGTGGCCGGCACGGAGCGGGACGTGTCCTGACTGGCCGGGGACGAGTCCTGGGCCTGGCTGGAGGGGCTGGACGTCAGGACCGTCGCTGAAGAACGCAAGCAAGAAACCCAAACTGGGATTCAGAATTACGGAATGCCATAATGCCGAACTTCAATATCCGAAAAAACTCCAAAACGTGAACACTAATTCCCATTAAATCGGAACCGTCGGTACATGTAGGTATGCTATTCCAAGAGATTATCTGTCGCACCTGGGGCGTGCGTTTGCAGGGGCGTGGTCGGCACACTGCGACCCCCATCTTCGTCTCCTCCAAGAAGGTTGATGCGAGTATCATCCAAACCTAGATCTGGAGAACAGGGCACAGTGCAAGGAGATCAAAATCAAAAGCACTCATAAAATCACAGGAACACCCTTTCCCCATCCAAATCAAGTGCATTTGTCACGCCACCCAAGCCGCATACTTGCACAATGAAAATCACCATCCCAATAAATATCTGGGGTGGCCTTCCCTGCTTAACACATACATCTGTGGCAAAACCTGAAAACGTGAGTCACGAATCCTCACAGCTATCTTTGAGGTTTCCGAGCTTTTAAAGCGGATCAAGCATGACAACAAATTATTCACTCACATCTATACCTATGAGTTCTGGGTACTAAACTGAGCGACATATCAAAATAAAGGGCTTGAAAGGATATTTCTGTTGCAAGAAAAGACAGCAAGTGATAGAAAGTATCTATTCAAGACTCTGGAGATTAAATAAGAATTTCAAGAAAACTTTCATTTGGTTTAAATGGAATAAAGTCCACTGGAGCGGATACTGATTTCGAGAAAAAAATAAAACAAATCTAAAAAGTAAGAGGGCTTGATAATTTGTGTTAGCAGATCTGATGAGTTGATCCTAACTGAGCTCGACATGAGCAAAATCTTTCAGAAAGACTCCATTTTGGGTCAACACGTCAGGCCTCCTAACTTTAGAGAAGTGGAGATTTCAGGTCACTGTAGTCAGCAGTCTGGATGCAGCAGTTCGTGCATTGCGCACTTCTGAAGAAACAAGCTCCGATAAAGAAGTAACAATAGCAATCTCTGATCCATTTGTGGTCTTAGAATAAGAACCTACCTCCCTGGGTAGCTAGCTGGGCTAGAGCTGGGGCCATGGAGCGCGACGGCTCCGAGTCCGAGCCGCCAAAGTGGAACCTCCCTTGGAGGAGAGGGGAGCTACGAAAAAGCAAAAACACCAGAGAGTATCCGTTCATTTAAAACTAAATCAAACACTTCAAGGAACATAATTTCCAAAATTAAAGCCAATGTTGCCTTACAGATGAATCCAGGCACTTTAATAACTCCTTTTATAAAAAATACTGATCTTGTTTTTCAGATCAACAGCTGGCAAAATACCTGCGGCATTAAGGTGGGGTGGGGGGGTTGATGAATGATCCCAGGCATGGATTTGTTTTCCATTGCACAAGCCAAAGTTTTGCAGCAATGCTACCCCAGCAAAAGGGAACAGGCTTTCATCACAATAAATTATTATTATTATTGTCATTTTTGGCATTGACAGCAGAAATTCCTCAACTGAGCGCCCTAGGCACTGTAAGCTTGCAATCCTTGAAGAAACCTGTAGACTAGAGACAATGAGAAGCAGTTACAGTTTAGAGGTGGGAGGAAAACCCGGGTGGGGGGGATATTCTGGGTAAAATCCACGTAATTAGGTAGGGACTGAAAACTCAATCCACATGTGAACTGAGCTGGGAATTGAACCCAAGGGTCAGGTTGCTAGAGATTAACCTACTATAAAACCTGTTTTTCCTCGTCAATTTACAAATAAGTCCTTTCTTGACATATCAGTCTTACTGCATCATACTGATATGGGCAGGTTCAGCAGGTTTTAACGTAGCATTGGCTAAAACTTTTTTTGGGGGTTTAAATGCTTCTTACTTGATTGCCTCGGCGAAGCCGTCTGTCCTGCGCGGCACGAACAGGGTGGGTGTGCTTGGCACCTGGCGGTCGTCTCCGATGTCATCGAAGGGCGCCCCAGCTCCAACAAACATCGGGGCCCGGCCGAGCGATGCCAGGCGCTGTCTGGGTACGTTGGCATGCTGCGTGGCCGAGGAGAGATGGAAGAGGGATGAGCTCATTTTACACAGAAAGGTTTAGAAAAAAATTTCTGGATGGATGTGGAAGAGGAATAGAAAGCAATGACTTCTGTGCAGCTGTGAGGACTTCGTTTCAAGACTTCTTACAAATCATGGAGTCTAAAATCACATCTCAAGCTTCAAATGTAATTAGTTACAAAAGCATTCCTGTTACTGCTCACAATGTCATGAATGTGACCTCCACTGTGATTTGAACAAGGCATAAATTCATTCAGTGTGTTTTTAAAAAAGTTGAATTATGTTTTTTTCAAATCCTAATCTAATCCAAAGATGTAAAGCGATTTCAGAGGTTACTCATATGTTATGAGGATGCTTCGAGGACATTATTTCCAGATGTCTTACACATCCACACCTGCGACACACCAGGAATGGAACCCAATCCATGTCCTTGTGATGTGAGGACACGGTCTTCAGAGTGCTATGAGGACATTGGAGGTGTTCATCTTCATTCTAAAGACCCATCTGGAATGGAACCCTGTGTCTGGAGAACCTGAGATCTGAGGACTTAGAGTCCATGAGGCTTCCCTCTCAAGATGCTTAGAGGACATTATTTTCATGGATATCTTCTTACCCCTCTTTAGTAAGCACCACCACCTCAAACCGAACTCCATGAATTGGCTGCTAGGCTGCTGATGAGGATATTATCAGGACATTGTTGTGAGGGACATCTCACATTTCATCCTTCAGTACACCCACCTCAAATTGAGCCTTTTCTATTTGCATCAATCAACCGTGTGGTGTGAGGACTTGGCTACTAAGGTGCTGATGAGGACATTATCAGGACACTGTTGAGAGGGACATCTCACATATCATCCTTCAGTACACCCATGTCAAATTGAGTCTTTCCTACATGCATCAACCAACTGTGTGGCATGAGGACTTGGCTACTGAGGTGCTGATGAGGACATTATCAGGACACTGTTGTGAGGGACATCTTTATAGATGTCCTCACTCAGCACACCTACCTGGAATGGCACCCTTTCAATCTGTGTCTCTTGCCCCTGGGAAGTGGGGACCTGGTCCCCTGGGGGTTCAACTCTCAGCTCTGGCATGGGCAAGCGCAGGGGTGGATGCTCTTCCATTGGCTGGCTCTGCTCCTGCTGATCGCTGGAGCCCACTTCCATCTCATTCTCCGCCCCTTCTGTCTCATCGTCCTCTGTCCATCAAAAAGCATTTCTTTTCAGAACCTGATATTTCTGGTTTGACATCTTAAACACATCGCAAGAACAGTGTGTCACCATGTTCACAGACCAATTCGAGGAGATGCCAACTGCGGTGGCATCGCACTTGACGCACACAACAGGTGTTTGTAATTTGCCAATTATTGGTCAAAGAGGCATGCAAAGTACACGTGCCACCTGTCCAAGAGCATAGTGGTACTGCAGTAATGGCTTCCAATACTGCTCGTCCAAGTACACTTTTGCAGTGTTGAGAGGCAATTTTTTCAGCGCAACATGGGAATATTTGAGACCCACCATCCCAAAACCAGGCTGAAGTTGGTATTTGTGATGTTGGACAATTCCTCTTCGGCTTTTTTTAACACTTCAAAGTGATCCATGCGAAATCGAAATTCTGTCTGCAGAAAGCTTCTGACGGGTAATGATAGCTGCAAAACTCAAATGGAAATCTGAAAATGAAAAAAATGAAAAAAAAAACAGTGGAAAGTTCCACTATTTTAGGATTATGAAGTTACCTGCTTCAGCCTGGTTTAGGGATGGTGGGTCATTTCTTTCCTAAACATGGTCACACGGTACTCATTTGGCACCTGGCCACAAAGACAGTTTTTACACATCAGTTTTATGTATTTGATCGTTGGCTGAATGTTCGAAGGGTAGTTTCCCAAACCAAACACCATGGTTGTCTTGAAGACGCCTGAAATGATAAAGATATTTCAGATTCTGGGGAGAACACTCACCACTGATTTCCACCACCTCATCGTCGTCCATGACCTGATCCTCACTGTTCCCGCCTCTTTCTCCCTCCTCCTCTTGCTCCTCCATGGAGACCGCATCCTCCCCTTCGTCTTCATCCTCCATGTCCTCATCCGCATCCTCCCCATCTCCCTCCTTGAGTACAGACGTCAGAGAGACGGGCAATGGAGATATGACAAAACAATCAGTACAGAGTACTGAAGTGTGATGTTATTTTGAACCAGGAAATGAACCAGCAAACAAATAGAGTACGCACGCGTGTTGGGTCCATGCGCCCGTTCTTGGGCGAACGCCTTTTTTACACATATAATTGAGAGCATGATGCATCCATGCGGATAACGCGAGTCCATCACATGTCCCCGGAAGTCCCTCCAAATCCATCATAAGGCATTCACTCTGAAGCCAAGTCAAAAAGCTTTTTCAAATGAACTGTGACAAAAGCATTCCTTTTTCTTCATCTTTGTTTTTTCATTATTCACCCCACTGCTTAAGAATCCTTTCATGAAAAAAACCTGTCAACAGATTTGTCAGCAGACTTGTGTGAACGGTATTATCCAAACTTCGGGCAAAATTTGGAGTTGAGCTTATTCTAACACTGATGTTTATTCCCCAATATGACACCACACCTTTGCTGATGAATATGCAAATTTTAAACATCATAAAAACCCCACAGGAACCAAGATGTCCCAAGACTCGCAAACTAAAATAATGAGAAATCTACTAAAATGGAACAGAAAGGTGTCTTTCCCAGGACTGAATTCACACATTTTATCACAGTGGCCCTTTTAAGTTTTTGCAGATTGGTCGGACCGCTTACCCCGTAATCTAGCTCGCCCTCCACTGGGTACTCATCCTCAAAGTCTTCATAGTCTCCTGCCTCTCCTTCCTCATCCGCATCATCGCCAATGTCCTCCTCGTCTCCAGGCGACTGCTCATCCTCCTCATCCGACACATCGTCCTAAGAATATAAACAGGACAAAGTCACAGATGAGCACTGGCTCACCCGGATGCTGATGGGTGACAGCTCTAGGAACAAGCAGTCAGAAAAACCTTTCAGTCAAGTACTTTGAATTAAGTACTTCACAAGTATTTTTCAATAGATATCACAAGCACCATCACAACTACTTTCACAATATAAACAAAGGAATGTCTTTGTTAAAGTACATAAGAATAGCTGGTGGATTCTCCTTTGCCCCAGGTATTGGTGATAAATGTCGTAATATTGTGAAATACCTGTGAGGCAGCTCTGAGTACGTATCAAGTACTTGGGTGCTTTCAAAGTACTCGACTGTAACACGTCATGATCCCCTAATAAACACTCACAGCTATCGGCAGACCCAGCATGTATTTTCCAGGTAATTCACAAATACTTTTGAAGTACTTGTGAAGCACTTTTGAGTACCTTTGAAGTGCTCGACTGAAACACGGACCCCCTAGTAAGCACTTGGCAGCAATCTCAAATCTTCTGTTGCTGGCAAATTGGCACACTGTGACTAACATTGGAAAGTTGTATGCATAAAATGAAGGAGCTCAGTAATACATGTAGCTTGTATCTTGAATTTAGAGGGAGGTCTTGCGATGATCTTCTCTTTTGGAGGTCTTGGGTTTTAAGAGGCTGCGACTATGACACTGCTCTGAGGTTAAGATTAAACTCACTTCATCACTGTCAACGACGATGACAACATCGTCATCGTCTTCCTCTTGTTCCTCGCCCTCGCCTGGCACGTCCAACCCTTCCTCTGGCTCCTCGTCCCCTTCAACCTCCGCCTCTCCCAAGGGTGGGGCGTCTTCCCCTTCGGCCTCCAGCAAACCCTCACCCGTCTCTTGTGCCGGCACCCGATCGTCTTCCGGCCCCGCTTCATCTTGTGCAGACTCATCTGTGCTGGTTGGGGGCACTCTCACACCACTGCCTGCCTCGTCTTCACCGGCGGGAGGCAGCGTAATCGTCTGCTGGAGGCTGGAGGTGGTCGTGTCGGCCTGGGTTGGGGACTGGGCAACAGGAGACAAAGGCTGGTCTGGCTGTTCAATCACTTGCTGCTGAAAGAAAAGTGAATTGGTACAGTCAACAATTTAAACAATAACGATCTCCAACCAGCCAATTTCCAACACCAGGGCCTATTGGAATTGGTTGGGATGATTACTGCACTAGCAAACTAGCTGTGTTTTATGTGGTCAGAATACAGCTTCCTCTCCATAGCCGATTGCAAAATAAATGTTACAAGCCGCCTGGGTTTCACCTACGGGGAGGATTAAATATCTCCAAGTTCATCCCCTGTGAAGATTCCAAAAACTGCCTGTCTACTCAACCCAATTCTTCAAACTGACACCTAATGGTGCTCGCTAGGCCCATATTTACACAGAGCCCATTCTACCCAGTAATTTTGAAGTATGACAAACTGTTTAGAGACCTTTAGTCCCTAACCCTCCTCAATCCTTCACCTGTTGGAGGACTGAGGACAGTTAGGGTTAGTCCCCAACACACAACACAGGCATTACATACACTACACACAGACATGAGTGAGAATTGTCCTGTGGCCCTAGAACAGGGTTCTGTAACCACACACCGGGGCTGAAAAAATTCAAGAACTTTGCAAGGACTTTCCAAAGCTTAAAATTCTCCAACTCAGAGACTCAAAAAGCAAAAGAACAACCAGGAAAGATAAAGTGTCTGGTGGATAAAACATAATACAGAGGTAAATCTTCACAGAGCTGGATCCCAGAATGCCGCAGGTTATATCGTAGCATCTAAAAATCCAGAACTGTTGAGTAGCGAATCCCTGAAATCTGAAAAATCCTGAGAAATGGTATAGCAAGAGACATACTGCATCTTGGAAAGCGACATTGTTACCGGTTGTGGGGTGACTCGCTGGCGTTTCTCCTGGTGGGCAGTCTCTTCTGCCACGGCCGCCTCACTGTCGTCCTCCCCAGATTCCTCCCGCTGCCGCTTGTGGCTCAGCTCCGTCCGACTTCCTCCCGAGGTGCTGGGCTTTGGCATCTCGGCCAACTCTGAAAAAGGTGGAACGTGAACAGACCAAAATCAAAAAACCTCTTTGAGAATTCCACCGGTATGACACATTGGGTAAGACTGTTATTCTTCCAGAAAAAGATGACCATCGGGCATAAAGACATAGTAATCAGATCGATAAAGGCATAAATATGTGCTTGGCTGGTCTTCAGAATTTTGTCAATACCAGCTCAGGAGAATGGAAGCTGATGCCTTTTGCCTGCAGTTTGCTCTCCGGGAAAGATCGAGACATCACCGATGCCAGAAGGGTTAGTTCTCCCTGTTGGCAGGGCAGACATATCCCCATACTGCTGTTGGGTACTAGCGCGGTGACATTCATTCATTTATTCTTATTCATTTATCCTTATCTTTCATTTCTTAAATTTAATTAAGCTAATATTTTTTTCATGTCGACTTGTACTGCGCCATTGATCATTTTTATGGAAACGGCACATTATAAATTTTCAATTATTATTAAACATATAATCACAGCAAAAGAAAATATCAAGGCGAGTACATATAACTGAAGCAAACTACTGTAGTTATTTATTTTAGTGCTGAATGCTGATTGGTGATGGACATGACCGGTTTTACATAAAAACCACTGCGCAAGATGGGGTTTATTTGTACCCTCTACATCTCTCTCAGCTTGTTGGCTGGGTGGTTGGGATTCCGTCTGGTTTCCATCCAAAGACTGGATGGCTGCCTCTGCTGCGGCTTCCGTTGACTGTTCCCCCACTATATCCATCCCCGGTTCAGTCACTGGTTCTTGTGAGGGTGGTTGCAAGCGGGGTTCGGCCCGGACCTCCTGCACGTTGTCCGGTCTCTGGACCTCCTGCTGCTGCATGGGTTCCACCCGCTCCTCCTGGGGCCCCTCCGGTCGGGCGTCCAGCACCACCATGGGGTAGGGTGCGGCAGTGGGTGGAGCCTGTTGGGTAGGAGTGACAGCCTGGATGGGGGTGGTCGATGCAATGGAGATGACGATAGGTGTCTCCACCGAAAGGGGTTCTTGGACCGCTGTTGAGGTGAATGAAATTAGAAAAGTAAAAGATGAAAAATGAGAAGGCTACATTTTGCCGTAAGGTGAAAGTCTACCCTGAATGAGAACTCTGACGCTATTCTTGCCAAGAGCATCAGGGCAAATTAACACATTAAAGCGAAACCAAAACTCGGGGAGGGGGAAAGTGCAATTGATTTGGAGAAGAATTCAAACCTTGCATTCCTACAAGAAACATCTTGTTTTCACAAGAAGCGGATGCTCCTGGATGGAGAGAAGCAAGTGGGGTAAAGAGGATTGCCTAGGGACACAACATATGACCAGCAGTTGGATTCGAACCCTTGACCCTGTGATCACAAGAAGCAAACTTTCACCATTCCCTTGAGTGAAGTGACAACACAATCTAAAATCCAATTAAAAACAAAAAAGTTCCCATGGACCCTTGGTTTCATGATATGTCACCTTGCTGTCTGTCGGCATCCATGACGACCGTGCTGGCTTCGCTCTGGGTCTGAGGCATGACGGTGGCCATGGGCGTAGCCGAGGCGCTCGCCAGGGCGCTGGTGACTGGGGTGACGGCGATGGGCCGGACGCTGGCCGTCATGCGCTGGCCCGAGGGCGTGGAGGATTTGGAGACGGTCGGGGCCGGGGAGGAGATGGGCTTGATGTTGGCGGTGGGGGGAGGCTCCTCACTCCGGGTGCTGTTGGTCCAAAATCAAGGCATCATTTCTTTATCAAGAGGGCAACTCAGTGCCCAGGTACCCAACTGCCCACCCCTGAAGTCAGGAACTGGTTCCCAATTATGGAATCGAGTATTTGTAACTGACAACACTACTTTATAGAAGAATACAACATTAAACAGAAGGTTTTATCCCAAAGTATCTGGTAAAATCCTGTTAAACTTTGGAAAACCTCGAAGTAAACCTCAAGTTACCTCTCGCGTAATTCTGCATTATTCCATTAAAGTGACTTCTCAGAACAAGGAAAAGAAAAATCTTATTGGGCATTTATGAAACAATTTCAAAAATTAAAACCGGACTTTAAATCTGGTTTTTGTTTCACAATTTATTCTCCTGAATTAACCACTCAGCGGCTACAATGCATTTCCATTTTATGACCCAAATGAAACACCAACTGTTAATTTGTGAAGCCAAATATGGGAGAAGTCTCATAAGAGTTTCAACACTGAAAAGTTTGAAAAATTACTCCAGAGGTGCAGAGTGGAGGAAAAAAAGAAGACAGCCCCGGATCAGATCGTAACAGACAGAACGCAATCTTGAGGCTTAGATTTTGAAAGAGAGGGAACTTGTTGGTACCTGGGTCGTTCGGCTCCCATGGGCTGCTGGGGGGCCAGATGCTTGATCTGCAGTAGCTTCTGCTGTTCCTCAACCTGCTTTTCTAATTCCTGGACCTATGAGCAAATCGATGCAATTAAAACTGTAAAGGCGCTTTCTCGTTCTGGTCGTTGTTGGTTGTTTTGTTGTAGTAGTAATAGTACCGTTAGTAGTGGTGATGGTGGTATGGGCCCCAAGCTGGACCAAGAGAGGGCGCAATTTTCTTAGCAACAGGGGCTTCTTTGGTAGCAACCTAGCTTTGCTGGTTCACAAACAACTATGAGATGCATGCGTTACAAGGGAGTCGCTACCAACAAGACGAACTCTCCTGACCAGCATGGCTTTTTTCAACTGGTGAGGGGGTGCTTCTGCTCAAGGCAGATAATATCAGAGCATTTATAAGGTGCAGAGTATCTAATGGTGTCTGCCTTTCAAAGGCAACAATAAATAAATGTACATGTGCAAACATGTACGTGACATGTGGTTTAAGTCTGTAACTTCTTAACATGGGGTCTGAGGTTCACATCCTGTTTGCATACACAGGCTGTCCCAGAATTATTGCCACCCAACAAAATGCTCCAATTTATGATTTCATTTGGCCATGAAAATAACTGACATTAAGTTTTGGAAACTTGGTTTAAGCCAAACTAAAGAGGTTGCATTTTTGTACTTCTGGCGAAGTGCAAACCAAAACAAAAATAATAAATTGCTTTGGTTGTAAAGAAGGAAGCATTTCTAAGTCAACCAACCTAAAACCATACAAATATATGAGCTCTCAATAACACGCACTGATCCTAAACAATCAAAACAGACCCAAACCACAGTGGAAGTTTAAGAGGGAAAAGAAAAGCAGATAGGCGAGAGAACTGTTTTGCATCTTCCCAATTGACGTAGTTGATAACCATGTGTCTCACTTCACTCAAACTACAAAAACACCACCTCTTGCCAGATCGAGAGTATTTTGAGTAAGCAGTGTAGTAAACTCGTTTTTTTGGTGATCTCTGAGAAAGCCAAAAGTATGGTGCTGTAGCCTTTTGAAAAAAAATGTGCCCACTGCAGATATTTTCATAGTAAAGAAATATTACATAAGGCAATTTGGTTTCTGACAATTCTGGGACAACGTGTAGTGTAATTGGGCTAGCAGAATTTAGAAGCCATTACTGGGGATGGTGCCATGCTCATGGGCAAGCAGTCCGGGCGTTGCCCGCCCCCTCGACCAAAAGCATGCTGTATAGAATGCATCTCAAATGACATTTCAAATGAGGGATACGGCAGAAGAAAGGGGGAACAAATAAACTTGGGCTGATTCAAAGCAACAATGCGTTACCCTGGCTTGAAGTTGGACCTTCTGCTGTTGTTGTTTCTGCTGTTCTTCTTTTTGGATCGTTTGAAGTTTCTCCTGATTGGGTTCCAAAACAAAGAAGGTTGGTCAAAAAAGTTACCTAGAAGGTTCATGGTTAACACCGAGTGGTGACAAATATTGGAAACTGTTGGGTTATGTGAGGATGCAGCCTTCCCGCTATGAGTGTGAGGGGCCTGTATTAACCCCTTTGCTGCGGAGGACTGCTGCTACCGCACCGCTGCGTGAGGATTAGTGCATAACACGCATACTGTCTATTCATCACGCAGCTGCGGTTTCAATGTGGGCCTGCTGCTGGACAAAGCCCTCCATTCAGGGCATGCCACAGCCCAGCAGTCGCGGTCAAAATAATCCCGCCGTGAAGGGGTTAAACCATAACAGGTCTTAACTTCCAAAGCGTACAATCAGTACGACTGGCACAACAGAAGTGATTCACAAACAAGGTGAACGGTCGCTGGAGAGCTTGAATCAAAAGACGCACACGCTGCTTTGTGGGAAAAGGTTTACAATGCACAACTCTGTTTCATTATGATCACGCAGGGCCCAAAATTATCCAACCTTGTCCACACTTTTATAACCGTGTCTTCCAACTTCCCCTTATTGTCACTACATAGAATGCCAAGATCAATTAAAGTCTTTTTAGTTTCTGAACGCGCTCGATCCAACTCTTTGAAGGCTGCCGACATCAAACCGTGGCAGCCGGTAAAGCTTTGACTCACGAGCCAGACATAGCAGGGTTCCTAACGAAATATGAATACCAAATCCCAGGACTTTTCCAGAACTCAAATATTACAGCTTCCGTGACATTTAATGCCAATTTGTAAAGAACAGTGGTTTAGTTTTATGAACCGGAAGACTGCCATAGCTACTGCTCAAGCCTAACATCCTTCTGTTATCTCATTAAAAGCGGTCCATCAAACAGAACCCCTGCACTGTCTTGATTTCCACGACTTTTTTCCGTGACTTTTCAGGATTTCTCCTCTAGACTCACCTGGTTTTCCTTGGCCTGCTTGAGGTCCTTCTCCAGCTGTTCCACTTTCTCCTGCAGCTGTTTCTTGTCGGCCTCCATCTGCCCCTCGCTCTGGGTCTGCAGGGACTCCAAGGCCGACAGCTCCCCCCTCAGCTCATCCAATGTGGATTGCAGCTTGGTCTTCTCCTCGTTTGCCTTGTTGCGTTCGGCTGACGAGGAACAAAATTGGTCTGAAAGCTCACCGACTGGCACTTTCAAGCAAGTTCAATCAAAATGTGGATAGCCATAATTCCCTAAACTACAATGTATAACGTGATCAAAGTCAACTGCATAATGAACCGAACAATTTGCTGTTTAAATGTTATGTAATTTATGTTTTTATTTTAAACTTTTTGATGTTATTGCAAGGTTTGCTGTTTTAACTTAAATGTTTACAATGGTTCATTTAATTTTTTCTCTTATAATAATATGTGTTTGAGCTGTTTCAATTAATTTTTAAATAATCCAACCATCTGATCTCAACTCACTGTTGACTTGGGCCAGTTTCTGCCTCAATCCCTGCACCAGCTTTTTTGACTTCTCTTCCCGCTCGTCTCTCTCGGTGAGTTGCGCCTGAAGAAGAAATGCCCAGCAAGGAGAGGGGCATGAGAGATTTTTCACAGTGGTGGTTGTGTCTGATTTGTCAAGGACTTTCATACATGATAACACGTTTCTGTTATGGACTGTCATTTGGGACTTGGTTTTCAACTTTTGTTTAAATCAACTGAATTTGCTACCGAGTCAAACCAAAAAACAAGTCTCGGAGGCAACTGTGTTTCCCCCGTGACTTTGTTTTCATGAGAATGGACATCACTTGGGTGAAAAACTCGAGGGTTTCTATTACTTTACTTTGGGCGAGAAGCTTAACCCCTTCGCGCCAGGATTCTATTGACTGTGACTGCTAGGCTGTGGTATGCCCTGAATGGAGGGCTTTGTCCATCAGCAGGCCCCATTGAACCAGCAGCTGCATGGTGAATAGACTGTATGTGTGGTATGCACTAATCCTCACACAAAGCCACGGCTCTTGCCGTCTCCCGGAGCGAAGGGGTTGAAAATCTTTCAAACTCAAAATGTGGCATCAGCAAAGTGAAACTAAATAGCAAGAGTCCTGAATCTGTGCATAACTGCTAGAAAAATTGACATTTACAATCAAGAAATTGCAAAGGAATCAATTTATAATAAAATAAATGCAATACCTTTGTTTTCTCTTCAGCCTCTTTCACAGACTTGTTTTCCTGTAGAAAAAAAAACGAAAAAAAAAATCAGGGTAGTGTCAGCTTACATTGTTGGTTCTTCCTGAAACAATGCCACACTGTTGCTCTTAAATATGCGAATTCATGTCAGCATAAAACAGCAAAGAAAATTCCCTCAAAATGGTGAAATGAAAATTGAAAAAGGGATATTGTGGCATGCAAAGGACTGGATTGGAGAAAGATTTATATTGTATGCACCCTTTAAACGTGGCAAATTTACAAGCTTCAGGGGAATATATGATGCAGTGGAAACAACTACATGTTGTATGAGCCCAAACATGTAACAGGTTCAGGCCTGTAGGCCTAAACGTGTAACACATTTAGGCCAGTAGTTCTTGTCTCAAAATCAGGTCGAGACTTCAAGGTAATCAGCTAGGCTCACTTCCGTCAGCTTGGCCACCGTTTCCTCCAGTTCCTTGATCTTAGCGTCCTTCTCGGCAATGGGCTGGCCTTGCTGTTCCTTCTCGGCATCCACCTTGGCCTGCAGCTCCTCGTACTGTGACTTGTAGCGACGGCCAATCTTCTTGACCTGAAATTGCAGACCACGGTCACAACAACAGTTCCAAGTTGTCATAAGAAAAGTAGCAAAATATCACAAGAACAGTCACAGGATGCCACAAGAACAGTTGCAAGGTGTCACAAGAGAACGTGCAAGGTGTCACAGGAGCAGTTGTAAGACATCACAAGAACACTGCAGTTGCATGTTGTCATAAGAACAGTCACAAGATGTCACAAGAACAGTTGCAAGGTGTCACAAAAGTGGTTGCAAGATGCCACAGGAACCGTTGCAAGATGTCACAAGAACTGCAACTGGACCCATTCTGTGAAAACCTCTAGCTTACGAGTGCCTTGCAATCAATTAGGCTACATGTACATCTCTTTGAATGAATTTAAGCCTCATTCGAAAACAAAGCTTGGCCACAAAACTTGACTAAAACTATCCCCTAAAGAGTGTCATAAAAGCATGAAATCTGCAGACAAATTATGTCTCCATCAGAATAAAAAACCGAGCCTTATCTTTGACACCCGATTTTGTTCTGGATTTGAGGTAGAGGTATGAATCTACGATAACTTGGATCACCGGAGAAAGTCTTTACTACTTCCTACCTGTTGAATGGTATTCTTCTTATCGTTGATGTCATTCTCCTTGGCCGTGTTGTCCATTTTCAGTGTGTTAATCTCCTCACTACGTCAGGTTTTACGAAAAGAACGTCGTAAGAGAACCATTCCCTTCAGAGTTTTTTTAATTACTTGATGCTAGAGTTGAAATTTTGAGCGTGACTGATGACGGGCTTCAGAATGCTTTGTGTTTGAGTGTTTAAGGACGACTAAAACTTCAAGAAAGCATGTGCAAGGTATTTATGGTGAAGTTCAAAGGTACGCCTTTTTGAGGGAAATACTTAATGGTTCCTTACAATATGTACTCCGAGGTGAAGCTAGGTACTGAGGACAAAAGAAAACCAAATGCAATAGACCCTATTCACGGGGAAGCCATTTTTAATCTTGTTCCCTGAATCTATCACATTCAATGTAATCTGTTCACTGGGGTGTTGCCAGACTATTAGGGATTCCTAGCCTCACTTTCAGTTCTTTTCAACATGGCTTTAGATTTATCACAAATTTTCAATTAATCTAAACATAAATTGGCATTAACTTTAAATGAACTCGTATTCCAATTATCTTCTGGTCTCAAAAGGAAAACTTACCCTCAATTGCCATTCAAGATGGCCGACACATGAAAACAGTCCATTAACGTTATGGAGAATGAATACACACATACAGAAATCTGTCAATAATTCCAAGTTCAGATGCTCTACACTTACTTCAGTTTGCTCTGCTCCAGTTTCATTTCAGACCTGGCAAAGACAAAAACTCAAGGATGAAAAATTTATCAAAATATCCAAATCATGTATGCCAACAAATAAAACAAATAAAAAGGCCCTTGCAGCAACTCCGGAATGAAAAAGTTACCGTTTTCTCTTTCTTTTTTTATTTAATCACTTTTTGTATACAATTTCGGAATTATCTTTAAAATATCAAAAAGCTTGAAGACAAGATCACATTTACACAACAATGGCATGCCCAAGCTGACAAATGATTGATGTTTGAATATAAAATTTCCATTCTAGTTGCGAACAGCCAATGCAAAGTGTAGTTTTTAATTGGTATAAGTCATGTGCCTAAGTGTGAAGTTTATGTGTAAGAAATGGCAAAACTTCAGAAACCAGGGAAGAGTTCCAGATTTTAACTGAAAATATGGCACACTATTAAGTAATGATGAGTAGATGAATATGTACAGCAAATTTGTCTTTTAATGAACGACTTTGGCAAAACTTACTGCATGTTGGCCAAGTCAGTTGTCAACTTGCTAATCTCATTCCTGGGAAGATACAAACGTCAACTGTAAATATATATTCTAAATTTAACACAAAAACGGAAGAACATGCCCATCATAACAAGAAATAAATTGGTCAAAATGAATCAGGAAGTGTCCCTTTCCAATCCCAATAACAAATCAATATGACCCATTGTTTTCTTCGAGCAGTTTCCACCTCAAGCAGAAACTCCACCGCAATGGTTGAAAAGAGCTGTATTGGTCGAGAGTATTTATTAGGTTGGAAGCAACGCGACCGCGACACATGCATTTCCTCCTTGTTCGTGAACCAGCCAAGTTTAGTTCTGACCACAGAGAGCCTCTGTTGCGAAGAAAAAAAGTGCCCTCTCTTGGTCCAGCTTGAGGCCCATACAAGTCAACGGACAGATTT